CCTAGAATCCACAAGGGGAGAGACAATTCTTGATTTAGTCCTAAGTGGCACACAGGACCCGGTCCAAGAGGTAACTGTAGCTGAACCGTGGGGTAATAGTGACCATAATGTAATTAAATTTAACATCCTTGGGGGAGGGTTAAATGCCTGAAGCACAGGGATTATTCAAAAACATCAGACCAAATGTATATGGCAACTAAGAAAAGACCATAAGAGGCCCAAAAAATGCCACTATGGCTGAACAGCAGATTAATGGAGGCCATTAGAGGCAAAAAGGCATCCTTTAAAAATTGAAAGTCAAGTCCCAGTGAGAATAATACAAAGGTGCATAAACTCTAGCAGGTTAAGTGTAAAAAGGCAGGCCAAGAAAGAATTTGAGAAGCAACTTGCTAAACACAGAAGAACTAACAGTTAGAATTTTTTTAAGTACTCCAGAAGCAGGAATACTGCCAAACAGGCACTGGGCCCACTGGACAAGCAAGGTGTTAAGGAACATTCAAGAAAGACAAAGCCACTGCAGTAAAGCCAAGTGAATTATTTGCCTCCATCTTCACTGCAGAGGATGTGAGGGAGATGTCCACTTCACAGCTACCCTTGTGGGTGAGAAATCTGAAGAACTGTCCTATGATGATGTGTCTATAGAAGAGGTTTGGTTTTAGAACAAATCAATAAACAGAAATAAGTCACCAGGATCAGGTTGTATTCTCCCAAGAGGTTTGAAGGAACTTAAATATGAAACTGCAGAAATACTAGTTGTAGTATGCAATCTATCACTGACACACACTTCTGTACCAGACAGCGAATGTAACTAACTTCAGTAGTGGGCAAATTGGTAGAAACTATAGTAAACAATAGAATTATCATCTCCATAGATAAACATAGTTTGTTGGGGGGAAGAGTCAACTCAGCTTTTGTAAAGGGAAATCAGGTCTATGGACAAGGCTGATGCAGTGGCTATAGTGTATTTGGACTTTGAGCAAGCCTTTGACAAGGCCCTTCAGAAAAGGCTCTTAAGGAAACTAAGTAGTCATGGGGTTACAGGAAAGGTCCTCTCATGGATCAGTAACTGGTTAAAAGACAGGAAACAATGGGGTAGGAATAAATGGTCAGTTTTCACAATGGAGAGATACTGAAACAGCAGGGTCAACATAGTCATGAACGATCTGGAAAAGGGCATGAGCGGTGAAGTGGCAAAGTTTGCAGATAATACAAAAATTATTCAAGGTAGTTCAGTCCAAAGCTGACTGTAGAGTGTTACAGAGGACTCTCAAAAAAAAAAAATGGGTGATGGGGCAACAAAATGGGAGATGAAGCTCAACATTGATAAGTGCAAAATAATGCACACTGGAAAAAAAATCCCAACTGCACATATAGAATGATGGGTTCTAAATTAGCTGTTAACCCCTCATGAAAAAGATCTTGGCATCAGTGGGGATAGTTCTCTGAAAATTTAAGCTCAATGTACACAGCAATCAAAAAGGCTAACAGAATTTTAGGAACTATTAGGAAAGGGATAGAAAACAATACAGAAAATATAATGCCACTACATAAAGCCATGGTTTGCCCACTCCATGAATACTGTGTGCAGTTCCGGTAATCTTTCTCAAAAAAGGATGTAGTGGAACTGGTAAAGATTCAGAGAGGGGCAACAAAAATCAAGGGTATGGCACAGCTTCCATACGAGGACAGACTATAAAGCATAGGGCTGGTCAGTTTAGAAAAGAGATAACTAGGGTGGATATGAGAGAGGGCTATAAAATCTTGAATGGGGTGGAAAAGGTAATGAGAAGTGTTATTTACCCTTTTCTACAATGCAAAAACCAGGGAGTCACCTGATTAAATGAATAGGCAGCAGGTTTAATATAGACAAGACACATGAATAGGCAGCAGGTTTGATACACACATTGCACAATTAAACCGTGGAACTCTTTGCTATGGGATATTATAGCGGCCAAGAGTAAAACTGGGTTTTAAAAAAGAACTAGATAAGTTCATGGAGGATAGGTCCATCAGTAGCTATTAGCCAAGATTGTCAGGGATGCAAGCCCATGCACAGGGCAACCCTAAAGCTCTGAGAAGCCAGGAGAAGAAGACTGGGTGGATCAGGCCACCTGCCCTGTGCCATAAACTCTCCCCTGTAGCTCTGGTACTGGCTACTATTGGTGGCAGGATTCTGGGCTAGATGAACCATTGGTCTGACCCAGTATGGCAGTTTGTAAACATTTGCTTGCTAAAAGCCACCCACACCAAGAGGCGAGTTGAGAAAAGAACTCAGGACTCTTGACTTTTCTTCTTTAACCACTAGAAAACATGTACTCTATTGACAAATAGGCCTTGTTTACACTTGCAATGGCATGTAGGGCATGTGTAGCTAGGTGCTGCAGGGAAAAGCAGGCTGTGTCCACACTCACTGTGGTGTATAGTGACATGTATCAGTGAAAGACTCCAGCAGCAGGACACTACAATACTCAAAATAGCAGTGTAGAAGTGAGAGACACTGCGTGGGGGTATAGCGAGCTGTGTAGGGTAGATTCTGGTATTGCTGTACTCTGCTCACGTTAGCAGTGCCTCACCATCTACGCTGCTAGGTAAACCCATGTTAGCTGGGCAGGCAGTGTCTGTACTCTACATGCCACCATAATTGCAGACATACCCACAGTTTGAAAGAAAAAATGAGCAACTCCTAGATAATAACCCTGTAGAGCATTGGTTTAAAATGGAATTTTTCCTTGCCTGCATAAAAAGTTGCTGTTTACCCCGATTACCACCTTATAAAAAATGTTGTTTAAAGAAATCCTCTCTTTTACTAGCTAAACCCGTCTGGTGCTCATGTTCTTTGGTACAAATGAATGACAGCAACTATTTAGCATTGTGGATTTTATTTATATCTTGTGCTTGCACAGCTTCAGTTGCTTTATGGTCTAACTCTACAAGGCAGGTCATCTAACCTGAATTTATTGGTGTGCAGAATAGTGATGTATAGGGGGGTGTCATAAATATAAAGGGAAGGGTAAACACCTTTAAAATCCCTTCTGGCCAGAGGCAAAACCCTTTCACCTGTAAAGGGTTAAGAAACTAAGATAACCTCGCTGGCACCTGACCAAAATGACCAATGGGGAGACAAGATACTTTCAAAAGCTGGAGGGAGGGAGAAACAAAGGGTCTGTCTGTGTGATGCTTTTGCCGGGGACAGAACAGGAATGGAGTCTTAGAACTTAATCTAGCTAGAGATGCGTTAGATTATGATTTCTTTAAATGGCTGAGAAAATAAGCTGTGCTGAATAGAATGGATATTCCTGTCTTTGTGTAACTTAAGGTTTTGCCTAGAGGGATTCTCTGTGTTTTGAATCTAATTACCCTGTAAGGTATTTACCATCCTGATTTTACAGAGGTGATTCTTTTTACTGTTTCTTCTATTAAAATTCTTCTTGTAAGAAACTGAATGTTTTTTTTCATTGTTCTTAAGATCCAAGGGTTTGGGTCTGTGGTCACCTATGCAAATTGGTGAGGATTTTTATCAAACCTTCCCCAGGAAGCGGGGTGCAAGGTTTTGGGGAGGATTTTGGGGGGAAAGACATTTCCAAACAATGCTTTCTCAAAAATAAACCTGGTTAGACGTTTGGTGGTGGCAGTGGAAGTCCAAGGGCAAAAGGTAAAATAGTTTGTACCTTGGGGAAGTTTTAACCTAAGCTGGTAAAAGTAAGCTTAGGAGGTTTTTCATGAAGGTCCCCACATCTGTACCCTAGAGTTCAGAGTGGGGAAGGAACCTTGACAGGGCGGTACCATGCAGCTCACTGAAAAGAGAAGCTATTGGGTTGACCTTTTTTTTTTTTGGCTAAATGATTTTCTGAATGAATTTAGTGCTCATGAAAGGTGATGGATTGTTAGGCCTGGAGACTGAAAGCTTCTATGCAGATATAACATGGACAATCACAGTGTGAACTGTCTTACATCAGACCTGTCAAATTCACAGGTTGGACTTTTCAGACACATCTGTGAAAGAAAACCCCTCTTATTGGCTGTCTTCCATAATATCCAGCCTCCTGGGGAAGGCAGCCAATCAGAGCTGCTGTAATGTAGTTAGGGCCATCTTAGTTCCTCAGCATGTGCACCAGCCCATTCTCATTTTCCCCCTCCCCCCTGCAAGTGTAGAGCTGGGAGTTGAGTCTGCAACTCCAGCTGTTGGTCTCCCCTTCCAGGCTTTGACTGGGGACATGGGAAGAAAACCTTCAGGCCAAAGCAACTTGAAAAGGGGTAAGATTATGAAGGGAGAGAGTACCCCTCCACCTCATCCAATGGCAGAGGAACTAACAACCCTGTCCTATTTTCACAGATCAGAATTAGGGTAATTGGTGACAGTGTTGGGCTTTTTCCAGGCATCCCAATGATGAGAGCAGTGGGAGAGGCTGCCATGCTCTCTGCACCTCATTGCTCACACCAAGGGAGAGGAGCTGGAAGCCCTGCACTGTCACCATGTGTTCTAATTCACCCATCATTCATTTATGCAAATTTAAATCTACTGGCTTTTTGTTGGCCAGTGTTGGCAGGTAAGTTATAGGGCCAAGAAGGTGCCTCAACTCTGATGTAATGTACAAGGCAAGTAAAAAGACAGTGGGCCCAATCCTATATCAATTGAAATATATTGCTGAACTGCCACTGATTTCAGTGAGATTCTCTCTCTTCAGTGGAGCTTGCAATTCAGTGTCCATGCTCATTCAGTCCCTGGCCTCTCTGCCAAGAATGTCAACAAATGTGCCAGTTAGTACTAGTTGGGGTGGTGATTTCTGTGATGTTGACACCTGTCCACTATGAACTGGACTGTGACCACCTTTGTATTTCCCATAGGATGCTGAACAGCTGGTAGTAATGGTGAAAGATACATTAACTGCTGTGTGCAAACTGGTAAATCAGACAGAATCTACTGTCGCTAAAAATGCCTTTCATGTCAAATTATTTTTACTTCTCTTTAATAATGCAACTGCTTTCCTTTCATGGATCGTTTGTGTATTTTCCAGTTTATAGTTTATTTATACATAAAATACTAAATAGCGGGTTGTGTGAGACAAAATTACAAAACAAATGCACGTACATCCAAAGCTAGATTTGTGCACACAAAAGAGTACATTTTCAGTGAGTCCCACTATGCAGCCTCTCCTTGTGTGGGTTTGCAAAACAGTCTATTGTAGATTGGTCCATTTATTTCAGAATCCATTAAAAAGAAACCCTCCTTGTTTTTAAAAAACTCAATGGTTTATCATTTTCTGCTCCCTTACCAAACACCCTCCACTCACACATCACCTTCCTCTTTCTTCTCCTCTACCTCAGTCTTGCTCCTATTTTAACAGGAGACTCCCCCCACCCATCTCTTGCCATCTATGTATAACTAAGGAGTTCTGCTCATAAGAAATCATGTGATCCTCTTCCTTGGGGACTGTGTCTATGGTGTACATGTGACTATTCTGAGTGTTTTCAAAATGTAAATGACCCTTTATAACTTCTCATATGCATGAGGTAACTACACAGTGATGCCTCTGGTAGTCACAGTATTTCCTAGGAATTTCCTATGCTAAGCATAGTGAACTTTGGGTAATGCTACATATGACAACAGTAATAATCTAATCACAAAGGCAAACATGAAAAGAGTATAACAACCACCAAAAGAGTTACCTGAGGTTCCATTCTGGTTTTGTTATAAATATTGCACTCCACTGTGTGACTATACAGCTAAATAATTTTTAAAATGCATAGTATGAAAAGTGTAAACACAGTGTCCTATCGACAGCTGAAATTCTCCATCTAATCATATGCTTTAATGTTGTTTTGTCCCTCTCAAGGAAAAAAGGTATACAATGAAAACTATGATGATTTCTTAGAAGCATGTTTAGATGCAGGCAGATATATTGGTACACATTTCAAATGCAAGGAGGATGTTAATGGATTTGTGTTATAAAGATTTAATAACTCCACAAACAAGATGTCATGCTATTTACTGTTTTGTATTGGCTGTATACCTGCATCCTCATATTAACAGTGGGCGCATAATAACAGAGGAGAGTTCAGTACAGCAATTTTAGTTTCATAACTAACAAGTTAGGTTAAGTTACAAAGAACCAGACATAATGCATTAAACTGCACTTTGCAGAATTTTTCTAGACACTAAGACAACAGTAATTTCTATGGGCACTAATGAAATGAAACAGCCATTAGGGATTTTTATGTGTAGTTTTGCAAAATCTTTGAAGTTTCAAAATACACTGCGGATTGTGAACACATTCAAAAACTATTCTACCTTATAGCTGAAAACAAAAGATGACAAATGCATTTGCAGTCTCTAATGGAAAAGGAAATCACCCAAAGAAAGGGGAAAAAATCACTTTTTCTACTCAAGGCCTGGAAATTGTTTTTGGATCAAGTCACCTGATCTCCCTGCTTCCTTATCACTGAACTATGGCAGGTCAATCAGAGAGGACAAAATAATGTGTATGACTAGGGTGAAGCTCAAGTACGAGTGCAGGGTTGTTCACTTAAAACCAAAACATGAGAAACCAAAAATCTCCTGGTGCTGTCATGTCCAAGCCACAAAACCTAACTGGCTTTCCTCAGCAAGATGTTGAACTTAAAAGTATCATGAAGATGGAACTTCTTCAGGCATATTTCCCTGAAAAATACATATACAAACATCACTTTGTCTTCTCTTAATTTCTACCTGACAGCTCTTGTGCAGGATCCACCCATACCAATAACACTAACAATATTTAAAAGCTAGTTATGGTTTGAAATAATTTAATGTTTTTGCATAACAGTTTTTAACATTGCTAACACCTCAACTGTAATTCTACACATTGTATCAAACTCCTCAAATATCGATCTGGATAAGCAAAGGGTTTTTTGGCTAGTCAGCAAGAGCGCTGCTTTTCAAATGCCCACCTTTAATTTTAATTACATCATTTGCTCAATAATTAGAAATAGTCTTGGCCAAAAGAACCTTAAAGTTGTATTTAGGTGTTGAAAAATGTAATATTTCAAATTCTTATAGTTTAGCTTTTGTTTCCTCAGACCTGTAGTCCTAGAAGAAGAGTCTTCATGTGTGTGATGACTAAACTTGACACATCAGATCATGAGAGTTTCATATGTTTAGCAGTTTGTTACTAAGCTACTGGATGCACTGTAAATTCCTTTGCCTTAAAATGTCCCCATATCTTGAGGAAGGAGCCAATGTAAAACAGATGCAATCTGTGAACTAAAATGGGCATTGTGTGATTTCAGAAGGAAAATGTTGAATTCTAAATGATATCTAGTGTACATAGCTATAGATACAGATAAAATGCATTATACGAGTATGAACTCTTTGGTATAGTTTAGGTCTTTGACATACAAGTAGGATCCACATTTGGAAAATTACAACAGGAAGAGCTTTATTTTACACCCTTGTTATAATCTTTGTCACAAAAAAGAAATAAAGTTGTTCCATTTTCAGCTCTTGATTAAAATCTTTTTTCACTGAAAAATAGTGCCATAGTATTACACTCATATATTCTTGGAATAATAAGGATGTAATGTCCCATTTTGACCTTTCAGAATGCTGCATTTTGATTTGCTTGTCATAACGTTTCTTCAATGTTACATTCTTATTAACCTGTGGAAAGAGAATGGAATGAGAGGCAGTTAAGATACAGAATACTGAGGAAGATCTAAGTAGTACAACACACTTGTGTAGTTCAAAGAACATAGCATACATTAATATTTTTGGTATTTCATCATTATTGCATCAGAGCCTAACAAGAATGCTGAAGTGGTACATATTTAAATCATCATGACAATTCAGAAACTGTAATCTTCATATCTTCAGAGCTTGTATCTGCCCGAAGTGGTAGCTACTACAATCCGAAAGACTACATATTTTCAGTGTCTTTAGAAATATTTTAGAAAAGGAGGAATTAAAGTATTTTATCACAATTCCAAAAATAGATATTTCAATAAAAGTTGATAGTGTATATGAGTGAGGGTCAGATTCTGCCAGCCTTACAAAACGTCATAAAGTCTTAGGCCGGGCTACACTAGAAAATTAGGTCTGTTTAACTTCATCAATCCAGGGTCTGAAAAATCCACACATTGTTAAGCTGAACTAAGTCCCCAGGTAGACAGACCTAGCTATCGCCTTTCGGGGAGGTAGATTACTTTTGCTGATGGTAGAATCCCTCCCATCTGTGTAGGTAGTGTCTACATGGAAGTGCTACAGCAACCAGCTGCAGTGGCCCAGCTGACCTGCTGTTGTATATTAAGTGTAGACAAACCCTTAGATTCATAGATTTTAAGACCAGAAGTGTCCATTAATTATCATCTAGTCTGACCTCCTGCATAACATAAACTAAAGGACTTCTTGATAATTTCTGGATTAAGCCCATAACTTGTATTTGAGCTATCGCATATCTTTTAGAAATCTTGACTTACAGCCTGCAAGTGATGGGGAGTTTGAATTGTTAATGGTTAATAACCCCTTTTGTGCTGTATTTCTAGTCTGAATTTGTCTAGCTTCAGCTTCTCACCATTGGTTCTCATTATGCCCTTTTTGGTTGGATTACAGAGCTGTCTGCTATCACAAATCTCTTCCACATCTAGGTACTTCCAGACTGTGATCAAGCTCTCAGCCTTCTCTTGGATAAACTAAATAGACTGAGCTTCTTTAGTCTCTCCATATAAGGCATGTTTTCCATGTAACTCTTTTCTGAAGCCTCTCCAATTATTCTACATCCTGTTTGAATTGTGGGCACCAGAACTGGAGATTGTATTCAGTAATGGTCTTACTAATGCCATACTTGGAATACCATCTCCCAATTCCTACTTGATATTCCCCCGCTTACACTTCCAAGAATTACATTTACCCTCTTTGCTAAAGCGTTGCACTCGGACCACATGTTCAATTTGTTATCTGCCATGATGCCTTATTCCTTTTCAGAGTCACTGGTTTCTAAGATACTATTGAAGAAGGTGGGGCTACTCACAAAATAAGATACTACTCAACATGAATAAAGTGGCAGAATCTGGCACTATTTATAATGCTTTCACCTCACCTGAGACTTTCTTAGTATAAATAAAAATGTCAGCATTCTTCCCAATGTCAGTGTGATACCAATTCAAGCTACACCATGATAAAAACTTTTATGAGGACAATATTATCTACCTTAGATAAATGGCTTGTAACTTTCAATATGTCTTGTTTGTTTGCCTTAGCTGCTTTGTCTTGCAATCTGTGAATACGTGGACGTTTTCTAACAGATGGGAAAACTAAACACTTTAAGCTGAAGTGCTCATCCTTTTTACTGGATTGCAAGCATAGTAGCAAAATATGGTTTCAAGTAATCTCTGACCTACAGAACCCACCATCTCTGGTTCTGACAATATACAATTAAATGTCCATTCAATAACACAATGCCCAGTTCAGCAATGGTCCTCTTGTGAGCAAAACCTACATCAATGTAATTTTAAGGATGATTGCTAAGAGCTTGTGGTGACTATTGGGCCAATTTGTTGCGGAGCTTTTAGCTTACAATTGTTTTGAAAGGTTACACTCACCAGTACAATGAAAAATTAACACTAAAAACAAAGAAGCATGACATATATCTAAGGTGTGAGTTATTAAAATTCATACATTATTTCAAGTTACAGAGTTGTGTGACTACTTCCTACCTTTGGAAAATGTAGTTTGAATGTCAAAATGTCCATTTAAAAATTCTCATGATTTTTACATATTGGTGGAAATACATTTTTACTGATTCTTCAGCAACAGAGATAATAGGCCAGCAGTCCACATTCCAAGATCTAGCATTAACACTTTCTCTCATATACGACTTACTACCGTTCACAGTTTTGTAGGTCAGTAAGGCTTAATTCATTATACGACTAAGGTGCCTAACTGTCACTTTTGGCATCTACATCAGGTCCCACTGGGGATTTACAAAACCCTTGTTGAGTTGCTGCTGAACACTGTAGGCACATACCACTGTAGCACCTACCTTTTGGGGGGGTAAAAGTTCCCATGGCGCCTGTGTTTCTGTCTCTGGGCATGCACACTGCAGCCCGGTGCCCAGATGCCTAAGCCCCAGATAGATGCATGAACAAGGGGAAATTGGAATTCTTCTGCCTAACTTGCCTATAGGGCCCACTCCAGTAACCATGCTCACACCTTGCCTTCCAGACTGGCCCCCCATAGATGAATTTACGCAAAACAGCCAGAGCAGAAGGATGATGTTGCTCAACATTTTTAGCCCACAGGTTAGGGTACTCACCTGGGATGTGGACAACACCCTCAGTCCACCAGAGGGGGAAGAAGGGATTTGATCTGGGATAAGCCACCACTCATGAGAATACTCTAACTATGGGATAAGAGATTTTCTGATACGGGGCCTCCTCAATCTCGCCTGTTGAAGCAACAGGAGAGACCGAGAAGCCCCACTTCTGACTATCCCATAACCCAATGGTTAGAGCACTCACCTGAGAGGTGACAGATTCCTGTTAAAATCCTTTCTCCCCTTCAGCTGGAGGGGGTGCAGGTGACTTGAACTGGGGGGTCTCCCATGTTGCAAGTGAGTATCCTAATCACTGGGCTAAAAGTTCTGAGGGAGCCCCTGCCTGCCAAAATGGAATAGGCACCTGATTCCAAGAGTGGGTTTGCAGCTGAAACACCTGAACAGAGTGAGACTCCTATTTCCAAGAGAAGGGAGGGCTTAGCACACACCCTTCAGCTCAGCATCTCCAACTGGTTAGCTTAGCTGAGGTGCCACCTAGAATTCTGGGTTTCATTAATCCCATTCTGAGGCATCTCTCTCCCTCCATTCCATATAAGGAGTCCTGGTGTATACCAGTGATTTTCCAAGTGCATAAAAGTTAGGTGTGGCGATGCTGAGTGTCACAAGTTAACCTAAGTTACTTTGTGAATCTAGCCTGAAGTGTTTTAAAAGCATACAGTAAGAATCTTTTTTATTACCTCTTATCAAACCTAAACATACAACAGGAAACACTATATTGCTATAACACCATCTGCAAAACAATTGTGGACAATGAAAGAGGCAATTATGTAATTTCATTCATGTGATTTGCATCATATCCACAAGTAGCAAAGGATGAACACAGCAATAGAGTGACAGGCAAGGACTCTTGGATTCATCTTTAGACAAAGGATTAGCATCATCAAGAAAATCAATGAGTACAAGTTTTATGCAGAGTCCCTCTCAGATACATTCTCCTCTAGATGTACACATGTAGCTCCTGCTCCTACTGCAGCTTCAGCCCTAATGCTGTGTCTTGGGTGGTGGGAAGTCTAAGCACTCTACAGATATGATCTAAAGTAACCTAAGTCTTACCTCATTTTGTTCTTCAGACTGAATAGTGAAACTCTTCTGGTGTAACCCACACTGGCCATATAGATTCCTTGTATGAAAAAAACCCAGCTGATTTCTTTCCTCTCTTTTCACCTTGATCAATTGGAATCCTCCTTATGTGTCTCCTATGAGGAGATTAAGTGGAAAAGATTGACACTATGAAGCCATATGCATCTGCACTGCTACTTTTGCCCATCTACATAACTAATTTGCACAGACTTAAACATCAGAAATGTTTTGTTCTGAGCTACCATAAAAAACAGCCAATCACATAATGGGGCCATATGGCTTTTCTGATCGGAATGAGATTGCTGTCACTTAGTACAACTTCAAAGTGGTACACAGGGAGTTACGTGCACAAATTCTATTAACAACAGGGCTGGGCAAATCATTTTGTCTAATTTCAAACCCACTCAAACTTCAGAATTATTAGTTTTATGTTCTGTTTAGCAGGGACTGTGTGCAGGGAGAAAAAATATATATACATAGACTGATTCAAAAATGAAAGATGAGGCAGAGTAAAATCTAGTTGAAAATAATATGAACAGTATATGAACCCTATTTACCTGGCACTCATTAATGCCAGTTTACCTTTTTGGAAATGATAGTCTGCCCCTAAAACATAGTACAAGCTTCCTATGAACTAGAAAAATAATTTTCTTCTATGTCTCTTGAAAAAGAACATGGATTTAAATGACCAGAAAAAAAGTTTGTTAATTTTAATTAGTTTTGCGAACACCAAAATATTTTGAGCAATTCACAAAATCCCAAACTGCACTCAGGTTGGCCATTTCAATATATCAACAACAGTTGTGAAGCCAGTGATGCTGATTTAAATGTTGAAACAGGAAGGGTAGTATATATACAGTGATTGAGTTATTGGCATGTAAAACCTATTTTCTATTTAGATCCTTCACACACATATACACACACAAATCCCCTTCTCTTGAAATATTTAAAATGGGTCTGGGCAAAGTATTTGAAGATATGTACTATAGGGAATGATTCCACATTGCACGGGACTAAAATGTGTGACCCAACTGGTCTTTTCCATACCAGCTTTTTGTGATTGGATGATAAATGTCAAGCAGGTTTTTCCAGAAGTAATTGTTCTAAATACAGCTTACTGCTTGTCTTCAAATAAATTATTTTTCACTAGTCACTGAAGTCTAGTGGATAGTTTTATTCCATGCAAATTTCCTTTTTTTTTTCTTTTGGTAAGCAATAAAGTAGCACAATCCCAGTGCAATGCATTAAAAAATAGAAAGAGAGAAAGAGAGAGAGAGAGAGAGCCTTTCAATCCCTGCAGGTTATTATTTAACCTAGTTATGTCCGTCAAAGTTGTCTGTATGTATTTTCAAACAGATGAATTGTACAACAATGGCTTAGTAGACTTGGATGACTTTAAATATCTGAAGTAGATTAATGAATCTAATCAAACTCTCTACTCTGTGTCACTTTCCTTTCATAGATGCAGTCTTCATTTAATAATCACAATTTTCAATAAGTAAAAAGGAAAGCTGGCAATCCCTAAAAGACTCCCAAAGTTTATTTTAACAACAGTGGCTGGGATTCTCCATTGGCTGGATTTCAAAAGAATAGAAAGTTCTATGGAAAAAAGCAAACACTATTATTATACCATATACAACCAAACAGTCTTTGCTCTCACATCTATAGACATATGGCTATGAAGCCCAATCTGGTTGTTATTTTGTGACAACCTCTATCCCAGGGTTTATTTTCAGTTACCCCACTCACTGCTTATAATAACTGAGCTCTTGCCATTCAGACTGCAACACTCTTGGAACATGCTTAAGAAATCTCTATTCATTTTAATATGGGAATGGGGGCTTAAACAACTCATGGAATGTCAGTCAGCGAGGGTGATGGGTGAACATACTGAGGTATTTGTTCATGAGCTCGCCTTCTATGTCAGAGAAATATACAGAATAGTTGACTGGGTTGAATATTCACTTCTTATTAAAAAAAAAAGGGAGAACATCAGGGTCCAGATACCCCAAGTGGAGAAAAAGAAATCTAAACCCCACAGAATAAGCAATTGCATCGGTTGTATACAATGTTATTATGTATAAATCTATATCAAGTAAGGTCTTTAATGAAAACTTTTAATGGTCTGAACTTGAAGGTCATTAGGAGATATCGATCCATGTTATAGTTAGGAATGTATGTATATGTGCAGAGCATTGTAACTGTAACTAGGATGCAGCTGCATCATCACCTCACAATAGTGGGTGAAGTAATCAGGCAAGGAGGGACACCTCTCCAGCGAGTTGCTTACACAAAATTAATTGCAAGCACCTAGCATTCTAAAATCTAGTGAAAGACAATGGTGGACCATTAAAGTTAATGGAAAGACATTGAAACTGAAAAGAAAACCCCAGTCTTGGAAAACTAAGGAAGGAGGGAGTTTCCCCTGCTCTCTATAACCATGAATACCCATAGTCTGAGAGAGCAGGAAAAACCACCTCTAAAGTCTGTTAAAAGGGAAAAGGTGAAGTGAAGATGGTCCTGAAATTGAGGGCCAGCATTTAAGCAGGATGCTGTCTGTGAAATACTGGATCTCCTCCAGGACACAGGGCATGATGGGAAACTATACAGAGACAACAGGTAACTTGTATTAAATAAGGAAATTTAGTTAATATGGAAATGTAAAGCCTCAGATTGCATCTTTGTGTTTATTTTCTGTGTAACTTGTATGTGTTTGGTTTTCCTTACTATTTCATCTGTGAATCTATAATTTTCCTATTAAATAAACTTTGTTTATTTTTAGCCCAAGCAGGTCTCTGTTATGCAACTGTGTGAAGTGCATGTCACAAAGAAAACTGATAACTGGGGGCAGGTTTACTCCTTTAAGGATGACAAACCAGAGGGGAAAAGTCCAAGTGGCTGGTAGTTAAGAACTCAGGGAGATGGATTTGGGGGGACTTGGACCAGATGGGCTAATGGGGTGAACCTACAAGGAGTAACCTGGTGTACGGAAGCCAGGATTGAAACCTTTATGCTTGTAAACTGGCTACAGCTGTCAGAGCCATAGCAGCATAGCCATGGGCGGTGAGTGAACCATGGGCTCGGGGAGGCTAGCCCCCAGCCAGGCCCACCTCTTCCAACTGAGGCCGTGCCCCTTCTGCTCCCTTTACCCCCAAAGCCCAGAGGGACCCCCCCCCAGCTGCCAGGCTCCCCAGCCCTGAGTCGCCCGAGCGCCTCCAGCCCCCTCTCCCCCAACTCTGGGCAATGCGGCCCCAGCGCCAGAACCCCCGCCCCAAAAACTAGGCGGCCTCAACTGCCCTAGCCCCAGCCTCAGCAGGATTCCCTTCTTGGAAGAGGAGCAGCCTGCCTGGGAAATGCCCAACTAGCTACAGGAGGGGGCCTGGAGTGGAGCGTGCCTGGGGCCACATGGGGCTGTTTGGGGAGGCACAGCCTTTCCCAGTCTATTATATGCGCCACCCATGAGCATAGCATTAAGGTACCCAAAGTTACAGTAACAGAACTCCTGACTGGTCTGGCTGATCCCAAAACATCACAGAGTGGCCTACTAGAACCTCCAGGAAGGGAAGAAACCTGTCTCTAGCACTCATCAGGGTTGGGGATGAAGGTGGAGAGTTAAAATCAGGAGCTTTTTTCTCCTGCCCATTCCTAGCTATGTTTATGTTCCTGGTTATGTAACTGGAGCCCACATTAATCATGCTCTGCACTTAAGGGCAAGTGATGAACTCCAGGGTAAGGGAGGGAGTAACTCCTGTGGCTGTGCAGCTAAGCTGCAGCGACTGGCTGGTCCACGGAAATGGGAGTACTAAACATGGGTTTTGATAAGCTCATTTACATTAAGAAAAAGAACAGAAGTACTTGTGGCATCTTAGAGACTAACACATTTATTAGAGCATAAGTCTCTAAGGTGCCACAAGTACTCCTGTTCTTTTTGCGGATACAGACTAACATGGCTGCTACTTTGAAATCTCTCATTTATATTGCTTTCCTTCTCACCTGAACAACACACCACCACCTTATGGCTATATTCTGTCAGATAAGATCATTAGTGACATTTTCTAAATTCTGAAATCACTTGACCGAGGACTTCGATAGTTTCTCTCTCTGTGTAATTATCTTATTTTGTTAACTCTTAATATGCCACATCCAATTAATAAGGAATGTAATAATCAGGCATGGACACAATAGACTTGTGTCTAGGACCACAGTGTCTGAAGTCAGGTAATTATGCCAAAATTTCTGCTTTCATTAAAAAACAAAAATTGTAAGCCTTCACTAAGGTGATAAAAAGCTTGAAAACTCATGCAGTGATGTCTGTCTGAGTCTGCAGACAGACTGAAACAGTCGCTCAGAGACAGACAAACTACCCATGAAGCTAAATGGGGTGTTAACTCCAAGATATGCTGCTAAGGGGAGCCCTGTCAATTCCACCCTAGGAAATGAACAAGGATTCTGTATGTGACAGGAGGAAAAAAGAGCAGCAGGCCTTGATTGCTCACATGCAGCTAAACCCTTTCTGTTAGGTCAATGATGGGGCCATCTCTGCTTCTCCAGAGTGGGGGAAGCAGGGATCCCTGCTCCACCACTGATGCTCTTCAGGGCATGGGGAGTCCTGCCACTATAATTCGAAATGCAGATGAGCCTTTGGCCCTAGGGCAGGACTATAGTGGCAGAGCCATAAGGGACCCTTGTTATGATGCATGTAGATCCCTGGCTTGCCTTAATTTGGCCCTGATAACTATGCAAAAATATAAAAGTCTTCATTTTCAGAAGTGCTAAAACATCTGCAGTCAAGGACAGTTGTGGAAGCTCATCAGCTCTGCAAATCAGGACTTAAATATATGGAAAAAATAATTTTAACTTATATCACAGTATTTAATGAATGAACTTTGCTAAGATAAAGACTTCATCTCTAAAATGCATTGAAAAGGAAAACTTTGTCATGGAAAAATGTATTCCGTTTCCCATTTGCCACAACACAATTCAATGTGCAGTGATGTGTATATATATACACACACATACACTGTCATATACTTTTACATCATTTCAGAGATACATTTTAAGAAGGTCAGCTTTTTTTATTTCTTCATGCAGTGGGAACAAAGTAACTTGCCATGAC